TACATGTTGTTGTGGGAAGGTCTTGAATTGATATTTCTTATTGTTGGTTCTTTTGAAAATCGTCTCTATTTGTGAATTGTCCTCGGGGTTAGAAGCATACAAATTTTTTAAGGATCCCCTCGTGTCTTTGAAATAACAGTCCGTTGTTATTTATGTATATGACAAAATGTGCCCATTGACTTGTAATGCATATACATCCAAAGTTCAAGGTAACAACAATGAACACTTCGAATAACAACAAATTGTTTTCTCTAAGATCAGGTCAAATAATGACAGTGGTCCCACATAATGGGGCCACTTAAGGTCACCTTTAAGTACACATTGACACGGCAGCCTGACATCCCTCCAGATCAAGTTATTCTGATAGCAGACTAGCGAGAGGTGCCTTTACTGGAGACATCACTAAAGAGAGAGAGAAAGAGAGAGACAACGAGGAGGAGGGTCATAGGAGGGCAACAGGGACTACTAGAAGGACATCGTTCCGTGGACCACAGCCGCTGCGACAGCCTGTCCGCATCTGAGGAGCTTGGCTACCTCAGAGCGTGACGTAAGCGCCAACTTACCCCCTCAAGTCGACCTAACACCGACTTCGTCAGTGAGTGTACACTATAAACCCACCAACCAACCAACCAACCAACCAGAGGAGGAGGGGAGGGGAGTTGAAAATGAAACAGAGTACCACCAAAGTTGTGCCATGGCAGACTAAAGTGTGTCTCTTTAATATCCTCTAAAGGAGAAAACTTCCTTTAAGGGGCCCATGACAATCACCCCCTTTGACCATACGAAATGCAAAATAATTTTGCATGACTTTCTATTTTATTCCATATGATATTTATGAAACTAATCTCAGATTTCTTTTTTTCCATTTTAGCAAGCCTCTGATTAGCTGAAATGAAAAGATCGTAAATAAATTCATCCAGAGACCTCATATGTAATGGAAATGAATTTAAGATAATTTTATCACATGTGAATAATGGGGAAAACAATATGTTTTGAGTCATAATAGAAATTTCAAATTCCGCCTTCTTGGCTCTTTATCTGTTGTCGCCATTTTAACGTCAGAATATCATCCGGAAGTCGATTGCCTTACAATACAATAATGACTACAGGAAGGCGCCATTTTGGTTTTCTCTTTCTACATGTAACTTTATTTTTGATAACCTCTGTCTATTCTTCAAAACTGGAATGACATAGATAATATAGTGCGTTTACTGCGTTCATTAGATTTATTCAAATTCTCATAAACGTCAAACATACAAGTAGATGTATTAATCGCTACTAATCGCAGATCACTCAGTTTGGATAGTTTTTCTTGCAAATCTCAGACACAAGCGTTGACACTTCAATTATGAACTATTTACAGCAAACGTTATTGATTATTCAACTTTTAATCGTAGGTATCCTTACTAAATAAGAGAACGACTTTCAATACTTTTTTAAAGTGTCCGAAGCTTTTGTCCAATCAAAGGATATCCTGTCGTGTAATTTTGATGATTTTAATATTACCCTGTAGTTAAGCAAGTTTTACTTGGAATTCGCTGTTTCCGTTGTAATCATGTAACTGTAAATGCATATCAGACGAAGGCGCAATCGGGAACCGTCGGCACTTTCCGTAAACGAGTAAATAGTTTTTCGTTTACTAAAAGTGCCGACGGTTCCCGATTGGAAACAGGATAAGGCTCAGTGTGCATCGCCTTGTGTTTAAGACGAGAAAACTAGTTTGATTCTTTGATGTGCATCAAAATAAACTCGCGGTCGCGTAACAGTAAAGTTTATTAGCTTTGGAGTCGGGCGTCGCTCCTTTGTAATCTTCAAATGACAATTAGCAGCCTAGTGACTGGTCAGGTTTTTTAACTGACACCAATGCAAAAGCCAGCCGTGTGCCTTCAATTTTGCTATGACATATGCCAGGGGTGCAGAGAGCGAAAGTGAGGGTAACCCATGGAAATTGAGGATGAGGGTGTGTGTGTGGAAGGAAATGGACCAAAACCGAAAACCGAAAATACGTCATGTATAGGACAGTAGAAGCTTAAGAGGTAAATCGATTACCATAGTGACAGTGCTCGCTGCTTCTCAATTTCAACTTGCTGTTTTGTTAACATTTTCGTGGATATTTTTATAACTTTCTTCAAAAGGCATATGCATAGACAACGAAAACAAATCACCTTTCTACTTACACTAAGTGTGTAATTGGTGCGCTACAAGTTTATGCGACGTGAAGACAAAAACTGATGACGTAGTACACATGATTTTAGAAGATGCACTTACACATGTACACGTAACCGTGCTCGTACAGTTGCCCAACCTCTCTATTGTTCTTTAAAATTACTGTAATAGGATCAATTTTATTGAAGGTTGATATATTGTCATATATAGTAAATGTAAATAGTTATAAAGTAAGTTTCTATTTTTTCTGTAAATTATTTCTTTTGTAATGATGGTTTTCATAAATATCTAAAGTAACTTCAATAAGACATAATGTTGAAGTATTTGGTATATTTAGTAATTTTCTTATTTTTTAAATTTCAGCCATAGAGCTAGAAGTATATGTCTCATAAAATGGTGCAAAGTTCAGTTTGAAAGTTGTCTATTTTGGTACATCTATGTATTTGCAAATTATCATAGTATACGTAGTAAGGTATTTTTTTGTATTTTTTCAAAATTATACGAAACTTGTGCAGAGGTGGCAGTATTTAGTAGCATCTAGGATGGCTCTGTGCCATACACAGGTATTTGCCTTATTCTATTTTTGTAAATTGCTGAGTGGTAATGTTATATATTAATGATAAATTCTATAGTTCTGATTCTTATCAATTTAACTGTAACTTTATAATTATTTGAAAAAGGTTACTATTGGTATTATTGGATTAAGATCTATAAAATTGTAAATCTTTAACACCTGAAAGGTTCTGTCTCATCGCATATATTATGATTATTTAGTAATTCCATTTGAAATGGACTTGACGATGTACATCGCAATAGTGAGTTGTGTCCCTTGATTATTTTACACTGTTCGCTCCACTCAGTGTTTAGTCAGGGACGTATAGTGATATATATACTATATACTGTCCCTTGTTTAGTATATTCTTTTATGTTTATTTCAGAGTGTCTACAATATACAATATATAGTATGCTACTATATGATATCTATGTTACCTGCCTCTGTGAATATGTACCCATGTGTTGAAGAATAAAGAACTCATCGTAAACAGCACCGGTGTTCTCATTATACTAATATGGAACGCAACGGTTACATTACGAGGTGTTTTTTTTTAATCTTCATTTCGACTTCGAATATGTCTTTACTTCCTACGCGTGTACTTTTATTGAAATATTTTCTATACTGAAAATTCAACGAGAGTGCGGTTATTGCTTTTTATACACTGAACTCATCTCCGTGCGTATTTCATGTCTCACTTTTGAACCCGTTATCTGATATTGATATTGCTGTCTGGAAATACACCTACATGTTATGAACGCATATTATAAATAATCAACCATAAAAGTACTCTCTTATTGTCTTTTTGAGAATAAATTATAAATAGGATACAGTAGGGCGAGGTTGTCCAAAATGAAACACTTTTAAAAGACAAATATTAATATTTCCTATGAAGTTTCTGAAAGACAATATTTTTACTGTAATGAAACAATACTATACAATTGTGGACTTCATTTTCGGTCTGTCCCTGATTTACGGACCTGGTCTGAACAATATTCATCGAGGCCGAAGTGAATATTGTTCAGACCAGGTCCGTAAATCAGGGATAGACCGAAACTGAAGTCCACAATTGTTTTATTATATGACATTTTACAATGAGATTAGTCTTTTTTTTTTTGTCGTAAACAAATAGTTGGCATAGACTTTTTTGGAATCACAGAGTGAAGGACTTCAAATACAAAATAACATACACAAAAATTGAATTTCAGATCCAATTCATGTGATTTTTAATTTCAAGTAAATATTATTTGCACAATCGACATCATCAATATACACATACACTGTAGTTCAGAATTTGATGTGATAATTCATTTGTAGTTGAATTCAGTAATGTGATTGGTAACAGAATTACAGACTGGCTGGAACATTCATCCGGGTACTCCGGTTTCCTCTCACACTAAGACCCCCACGCGCTAACATCCGGGCCAACAAGAGTGATTAATATAAGTTGAAATAACTTGTTTCGTAATTGTTGTAAAATTTATAAAGTTTATATTTTATATTTTTATTTTAGACTGGCTGGGAAATTACCTAGGCCTATTTTTAGTAGCGTTCTGCAACTGACAGCATTTAAATAATTGTCTTCATTTCAAACAACTTTAGACAATTTCTGACAAATTTTACCAATCTATGAGGTATCTATAATATTCGTTTAAAAATATAGCTTTCAATTTTTTTCAATAATAGCCGTAGACTAATGGTATGACGTCGACAACGGTGAGTTAAGAAATATGTTAGTATATTTATGTTTTCGCATCGTACTGTTTCCCGGGATTCTTTTTTAATTTCATTTTTTAAAATACTTTATATGAGTTTTTGAGCAATGTTTAAGACGGGGGCAGATGATATTTGCTTTAAATGCATAAAATTATATGAATTTTGATTGAGAATATATAACATTACTTTGAATTGCAATACAAAAAAAGCTGCGTCATGTACATCAAAAGTGTCCCATTTTGGGTAGCCTCATCCTAGCCCACAAAGTAATGACATATAGATCTACATATTTTGTTTTTATTTCTGAAACAATTCTATTTCCTCAGTTACTCCTCTCATTTCTCATTATCCTTTCCTTGAACAACCATATGGTAATGTTGAAAATATTGTAATTAAGTTAATAATCAACATAAAATTCGAAAAATTAATTGTTTAATCGTGTAAAATAAATAGAAAAACATGTATTCTTCTGGTGTAGACTATATACACTATATCAAGACAACCCGGATTCATACAGAATTTAGGATCCAATGACAATATATTATACATGTACTTCCGGCGTTTTCAAAATGGCTGCGCCCATGTGTGAACATTTCGGTGCAAGCAGAAATACATGTTTAGATGTATTTGGAGTGATTTAGGAATAATGAATATTCTCTTCCTTCAAAACAAGCCAGTTAACAATATTGCTAAAGTGTGCCTAAAAGGAATTTAACTGACATTTAATGATGGCTGAAAAAATGAACGACACATTCCAGTTCGCAATCATCGGTGGTGGGATAGCCGGAGTCAGCTGTGCAGAAATGGTTTGCTGTGATATTTTATGTCATTTATTCCCGCCGCATCAACACACAAATAGCTCAATTATTTATTTGAAATAATGTTTATTAGTATTCGAATTATGTCAACATGTTGATTTGAAAAGTTTTAATATATATTTTCGTCTCATTCACAAACTTATAAGGGCTACGGTGTAAGTGGACCGGTCAACACCTGGATACCATTTTTTTTTATGGTAGAAGTAAGTCAGTTGTGATAGATGGGGAAATGTCCAACTCTGCCCCAGTTAGATCAGGTGTGCCCCAAGGCTCGGTCCTCGGGCAGAGCCTCGCTCTACTATACATTAACGATATAACTGAGGGCATAACATCATCCATCAGGCTCTTTGCAGATGATACCATCATGTATCTCACTGTAATATCTGAGCGAGATACTCAAACACTGCAAAGAGACCTAGATAGACTAGCTATATGGGAGTCAAGGTGGAAAATGGCTTTCCATCCTGGGAAATGCCAAGTCAAGGTGTAACGTAACGAAAAATAGAAACACCCACACATCATCCCTATAAGCTTCATTGACAAGAACTAGAACATGTGTCAGAGGCCAAATACCTAGGTGTCACCATAAGATCTGACCTCAAATGGGAGCCCTATGTTAACAACATAACTAACACGGGATCCCAGAGGGATCTTGGCACCCACCTTTGTACCATCTTCATTAGTTCTTTGTCAGTTCAAACTTTTCTCTTCTTCCCTCTAATCTGTTTGATCGAGTCATGTTAACAGTAAATGCACCTTGAGGTAACTTTTGATCTAAACTTAATACTGATGTGTATGAAAGCCAACCATCAAAGGGAGTTTGTCATTTCACATATTTACTAGTACAGTACTTAATGTGAAACAAATAGAATCGATCATTGCAATATGAGAAAGATCTGTTTAGTTCTTCTTTCAATCCATTTTGTTTTAATGATCAGTCTCAAAATGTAACATGCACAACGAGAGATCAAGGGGAACCTACATATAAAATTTGGGAAAGATCCCTCTGGTACTTTCCGAGAAATAGTGATAACAAACTTTCACTATCAAAATCCAAGATGGCTGCCTGTCGGCGATGTTGTTTATCTGATCAGTCTCTAAAATTTCCCTGCACAGCTAGGACCAAGGGGAGCCTACATATAAAATTTAAGAAAGATCCCTCTAGTTCTTACACTATCAAAATCCAAGATGGCTGCCTGTCAGCCATGTTGTTTATCCGATCAGTCTCAAAAGTTTCCTTGCACAGCTTTGGACTTAAGCTAACTTACATATAAAATTTGACAAAGATCCCTCTGGTACTTCTTGAGAAATAGCGTTAACAAACTTTCACTATCAAAATCCAAGATGGCTACCTGTCGGACATGTTGTTTATCCGATCAGTCTCAAAAGTTGCCCTGCACAGCTAAGGACCAAGGGGAACCTACATATAAAAAAAATATGTGATTATACAAATATAAAAGTCTGAAAAGAATATGGTTTCTGTGTGGTATATCGAATAGGGCCCAATATGGGAATAGAGGATAATCATGAAAGGCACCCAGCCTAGCATTCTGCCTGGTCACATGATACTGACAACATCTGAACTAGTTGTTGCTTTACCCTAAATGCCGTTAAGCTGGGAATAAAAACTGCCATTTGTAAGGACTTTTGTGTGCTCTGGCATAGGAAGATAATCCATTGCCTTCCTCACCTGGGCAAACACATATAAACATTAAATCCAAAAGTTAGATATTGCCTAGTATCAAGGCACTAGAAAAAAAGGTAGCTAGAAGTAGAGAGAAATATAAAGATCCAAAATATTGCAATGGATTCAGCAGATTTATTTTGGATGCTTTTGTGTCCCCATGTAGAGGATCCCCCAATTCAACATTTGTTGCCTCCTTCTATCATGCAGTTAATAACAATAGGTGTATTCTATTCTCAGTCCTTGATCAGCCGGGGTGAACTAGATGCTAGTTCAGACCCAAAAGTTAAAATAAAAGTAAAAAGAAATTTGAGGCATTACTGGGAGAAGGGGAACTCAATGCTGTATAAAAAAACAAAAATTTTGCCACCCTTCCCCCACCTCTTGGGGTAGAGGAGTTAATGTGCTCATTCAAGCAAAAAATAAAATAAAAACATTTAAAATCCTGCTCCTTCAGTACAAGTTAAGAAATGTTAACCACATCCCAAACAAAGGCTCATAAACATATTTAATCACTGAAGTGGTTAATGTTCATGTTGAGCAGTTTCTGTAGAAAAGCAAGAAAAATAGAACAGAAATTAATGTACGAAAATTGAGGATATAGGTTGGGAGAAAATTATGTTTTTGACTTTAATATGTGGTGAAAATTAGTCACAGTCCTTTAACGATAAACATATTCTTTACCAATCGCCCTGCATACCCCTTTAGTATACCTACTCCGACCAAAGCAGGCCTACTTGATTCTCCTACCTATAATACAACTCGCACGAAGTTGGCTCGGTGTTTTATTTTAATCTTTGGTCTATTTATGGTGTTTTACTTCAATGCCTTCTAGAAACAGGAGACATTTTTGAGTTTTGACCTTTGCTATTGCAGAAAGTTTATAACTTTCATTATGTTAATGTTCTAGATATATTTGTTTCTTATGTTACTTAGGGGATGGATTCTAATCACAACACAGCTCAGGTGTCACTTGTTTTAGTGGGGGTTTATAGGCTAGTGAAAACCCAATCAAACTGGTAATGCCTTATAAGCTGTGTTACGATCGGAACTCTTTTACACATTAAAAGTAAAACTATACATTCCTTCAGGGTATAACAGAACTAAAGAAAGACTAAAAACTACTAAAACGTACACCTTGGTCGAAGTATAAACAACATATGAGGTCAACAAACATCTTAACATAGGAAAACGACATAAAATGTGACGGAAAACTACATAGGGAAAGATTGCAGACAATATGTTTTTATTATTTCTAAAAATGTCTTATTTGTTATCATTGTTGCATTAATATTGTGTATCAGTAATTTCATTGACTATTTATGAATGTATTTCAAACCTTTAAACAACTTCATCAGAATTTTGACCAGTAGCAAGCTGGTATAAATGACATTTATATATATGTCAAAGGTCACAGGAGTCAAATGCAAAAAAATAAATTTAATGACTTCTTCTGAATAGCAAAAAAACCCATTATTATCATATTTGGCCAGTAGCATGCTAGAATGTAGGGCTGTTAATTAAATTTGCTCAAATGAATGACCTTGACCCATTTCTAGGTAACCAGTACATGTATGTTGACCTTATTGAAGGTCACTGGTTCAAATATACACTTCTTCTGTAAATAGCAAAGAGGCCTAAAATCACATATTTTGCCTTTCGTTTGCTAAGGTGAAGGGCTATACTAAGTATGTTTCACATTTAATCACCTTGACCCTCTTACAACCTTTAACAACATCTTCTTAGTAGCAAAGAAGCCTAGAGTCATGATTTTGTGCCTTCAACATGCTTGCTGTTAGGTCTATCAATTCTTTTATTAAATGATAGTTCTTTACAGGTTAAAATTACTTTTCTCAGACTAGAGAACTACTGTTAAGTTCTTGAAAAATCATAATGCAAATATTTTAAATCCCCTGGGTTTTTTTAACTTCAGTACTAAAGAGTGTGTATGTAATGCATCAATGTGAATACTGACCCTGTTGGTGTGAAATACATATTATTTGTTTCAAATAAATCTGACTTGATTATAAAACTATTATTAACTGTTTGTTACCCAGCTGTCCTCCCTGTGTCCCGAGGTCGACATTCTCCTGGTGACAGCCTCCCCACTCATCAAGGCCATCGCTAACTATAAAAAGGTAAACAGTACTAAACTACTGGTAAGATCTGTATCAATGTCTTCTTTCTATAAAATATATGTGTAGTACAGGTTTTTTATGGATTTAATTGGTCATCCAGTATGCATGGCTACTGTGGCCTCTGATTAGTCATCATTATTTAGATATTGACCAATTTCACTCCCATAAATTGGTATGGATTATGGTAATGTAAACACTACTGCAACTTCCATTGATATCATTTGAGACTATGGAGGTAGCTTTGGAGACCTTTTGGAACGGCCCCCATTAAAAGCTGCATATGTCTTTTAATGACATAATCTATAAGTTAAAATAAAAAAAATAAAAAAATAAGTTTCCCATTTGTTACAGATATCTAAAACCTTAGAAGAATTTGATGTTGAAGAACGACCTTGGATGTCGATGCAACAAGACTGTCCCAATGTAAAAGTCATTCAGACAGAGGTCACATCACTTGTCGCTGAAGCACATGTATGTTTACACAAATTACAATAAACTGCCTCCCATAGATGTTTAAGGGTGTATGCAACCTTTTCTGAAATAATTTATCTTCTTTCCAGGAGAGCTCTGCATAAAAAAAAATGATTCCCTTTATATGGAATTCTGGGCTTAAAATAAAATTCTGTCCCATATAACTACTTTCAGCGATACAAAATCATTTAGTATTGGATTTTAGGGACAAGAAAATCAGCTTGAAAAAATCATCTACAGTAATTATTGACAGATATTGTAGAAAATGAAGAAACCCTACCCTGTTGGGAGTCAGAAATTGTGATGGTATTTCTAACATTCTAACAAAAATTGTTTTGTTTTCGCTATTAGACCATGACAGTGCGAGATGGACAGACATATAATTACAAACAAATTTGTATTTGTTCTGGTGGCCTACCAAAGGTATGAAAAAAGTTGAATCCCAGAAATAAAATTTGCCAAATGTGATGTTTTTCTACAGCATTTCTGTTCTGCATAATATTGAAATTGAATAAAATTTAAATACACCTTACAGCAATTTGATATTAAGTGACACAGTTCAACGTAATGTATAACTTCTCACTAATTAGGCTTTGAACTATATATTTATATGGCATTTACAGTCATGTGAATGACACAGCTTTGCATGTAAACATCATAATGAATGCTAGATATATATTGAATTCTGAGTTTTTGATTAATTATTTTTACCACATTCCTGCAGGTTATTGCCAAAGACCACCAGTATGTTTTGGGTATCAGAGATACACAGAGTGTCAAGGTAAATTGATGCTATCACTGAGGTGGAAAGTTATAATTTTCTGAATATTAATACATATAACAGCTATAACTTTGTTGTTTAAGGTAGATTGATTATATTTCCTGGACATTTTTTAATTTCTACATAAATACTTTAAATATTTAACAACAATTATGAAACAAATTATCTCAACTTATATTAGTCACTCTTGTTAGCTCTGATGTTTGTGCACGAGGGGTCTTAATGGGGGAGGAAACCGGAGTACCCGGAGAAAACCTACGTAGTCGGGCAGGTGACCCCATACCTTTTCCTGTCTGATTTGGGAATCGAACCCCGGCCACCTTGGTCAAAGGCGAGGTTTATCCACTGTGCCACACGACCACCAATCAATTTCTAGACATGAATAGAAATAAAAGAGTTCATTATGAAATAGACAATTCCATATTTATCCTGCAATAATGAGCCCGTTGAAATAAAATTTGCTTGATTGTCTACTGAACTGTAATAGAAATGACTGGGCTTCGGTTATTACCGGGCATGGGCTTATTGCCAGATATACATGGTGCTTAATCACTCCAGTTAACATACAAAGTATCATACTCATTTGCAAGGTCATTAATTCATGTTTCATTGCACCTGTCTAAACAACTTTTCTGTTTACAGTCAGTGTATTAATTTTAATTCAATATCAAAATCAAAATCTGGTATAATTTATCATGTTTTATTACAGGAGTTTCAGAAACATCTGCACCACGCCCGCAGGATATTAGTGATAGGGAATGGAGGAATCGCAACAGAACTTGTGTAGGTAAAACCTGGAAAGTAAATTGCCAAGACTCAATTACACTGGTGCGGTGTATAGATAAATGTCAGTCATAAGGAAAGTTTGTCTAGAATAAGGCTTAAATGAATTCTGAACACATATTGTTCGAAATCACTCAAATTTTGTATGTAGGTGTATTTTGTCACTGCAAACTCAGCCACATTATCCATTTTCTGATTTGACATAATGGTCACCTATACTGGCTTCTCATTGGTCGAAATTCAGTTATTGTTCGATTTCAATCAAATTTGGTAAGTACATGTATTTTGGCACTGTGAACTCAACCGCGGCATCTGTTTTCTGATCTGACAAGACAGTCTTCGTATACTGGCTTCTGCATGATTGGTTGAAATTCACATATATTTTGATTTTGATCAAATTCGGTATGTACATGACTTCCGTTCACCTATTTACATTTGTTTTTCTGAATGCGCGGTGAGTTAGGGGGACATCTGTAATGGCCAGCTCCCATGACAATTAGCACTTGTGCCTTTTATACCTTCATGTTGATGTATTGCCAAACTTGTTTATAAAATATGAAATTCTGACCTTTTGCTCAAACTTACAATGCTTGACACATTGAATCAAAGCGGGGACAGGCAAGACATATAATTACGCGTAGTTCTTGTTGTTGTAACAGAGATACTAGTATGTCGATTGTACCCCTTAAGGGACTGCGGTGGCCAAGTGGTTAAAGCGTCGGACATTCTGCCACCACTAGCCCTCCACCACTGGGTCGTGGGATTGAGGCCTACATGGGGCAGTCGCCAGGTACTGGCTGTAGGTTGGTGGTTTTTCTCCGGAAACTCCGGCTTTTCTCTACCACCAAAACCTGGCACGTCCTTAAATGACCTTAGCTGTTAATAGGACGTAAAAAAACAAACAAACCAAACCTTAAGGTACGAGGCTGGAGTTTGTAAGGGCCATCAATGGAAAGAAAATATTCACTTTTGTTGTAATTTTCGAGGAACCAGGTGTAAGTTTGTAAAAATTACAGAGCAATAAAGGATGAGTGTACATTCAGTTTTGTTGTAATTATTTTCCAGGTATACTATGTGGTTCAGGGTTGTGAGGTGATTTTGGGGCATCAAGGATATAAATCTATATCTAGTTTTGTTGTAATTTTCCAGGTATGAGGTTCAGGGTTGTGAGGTGATTTGGGCCATCAAGGATAAATCTATATCCAGTGCCTTTGTGGACGCTGGAGCAGCCCAGTTCTTCTTACCCAAACTTAACGCGGACAAGGAGGAGGGAAACAAACCCTCAAAGCGTCACGAATATACCACTGAAGGTGAGAAGATGAGTTTTAGAAACTTCATTTATTATTTATTTTTTATATATAATTAAGAAATTATCTTGTAGACATAACCAGGTATGTATATTAACACTAATTAGATTGTTAATTAACTTTTTATGACCTTCATCTCTTTGGCAAAGTCATGATCTTGTTCCTCCTAGAATTTAGACAAAATAAATAATATCCAATATATGTACTGACTTAGCAAGTAAAACAGTTGTACATATCCTGAAACTGAAGAAAGACTTGTTTTTCTTAAGTTTGTAAATTTTTTAGTTCACCTTGCATGAAGTGCCTGTCAGCTCATACACTGGATTAATGCACATGACAGTCCTCCGTCTGGCACCAACTTTTCCTTGAAACATCTTTTTCTAGAGAACAATCAGTTCAGGAGTAACAATATTTGTTTTGATGATACTTTGAAGGTCATAGGGGTCAGATTAGTTAAAAAATACAGCTTTTATAGAAAATTTGATTTCCTATACAACAGCGGGATGCATTTATTTCGTTAATTAAAAAATCATTGTGAAGAAGGTAAAAGCAAGCTACCTAAAGGTCAGAGTCGTCATGTTTTAGATGACATCCTTCCAGAAGACCTAAAAGAGCAAACACTTGGGGGTGCCCTTGGTCCCGATTGGTCAGAAAATCTGAAAATGACTGGTCAACAAGAGGTAGGTCAATTGAAAATGAAACCATAGTAACCAATTATTGATTATAGTTTACCATGATACATGTAGCTATGTAACTTGACCACATTGTCGTGGAATCACCTGTGTCATATGAAAATGATTAATCAATAAGGTAAATCTCCCAACAACTTCTAAACCCACAGACTTTGCCAAAATAAATTGGTTACTATATATTGGCTATGATTTACCATGGTAACTATATATTGGCTATGATTGACCATGGTAACTATATATTGGCTATGATTTACCATGGTAACTATACTTACCAAAGTGGTACCCTATTACCATGGTACTGTAACCACTCTCCCCATTTGACCTTAAATATGACCTGTAACTCCAATCTACCAACCTGCCGACATGACTTGACTGATACCTGTGTATTAACACTGACCAAAAAGGGATAAGCGTATATGCAACACACAGAATTGGCCGTATGATACCATGGTAACCATAACAAAATATCAATATTGTGATTAAAGAAATGGACCATTAACAAAGGATAGAAGGTCATCGCAGGTTGAACATATCATATTTTAACTGAGATACATGTAACAAGATGGGTGAATCAGGCAGGCAAGTTTATATATACATGTACATGTAGGTAAGACACACTAGAGGGGAAGTTCACTGAGGCTGGTCACAATTTATGATAAGGTCACAAGACAAGAAACAATTAATGATGAATTCACACGGGCAGGTCACAATTTATAGTAAATTCACAGGGGCAAGTCACAATTTATAGTAAATTCACAGGGCATGAAACAAGTTATGGTGAATTTACAGATGCAAGTCACAACTTATGGTAATTATACATAATTTCACAGGCATGGTCGAGACAATTAATGGTAAACTCACAGTGGGCAAAACACGATTTAAGGATGGTAAGCATAAAACCATAGTCTTACAGAAAGATTTTTAAAACATGATAAAATAACGGTATAGATACGTCTGGTACAAATCAGTATTTTATGTTTTGATAACTTGTGCCTTGTAATTCCAGATATCACATCAAGTTCATGTGGAGTACAGGGTAGAGGTGAAGGTCATTTACACTGCTGAGGAGTTTGTTGCCACGGAGATGACTGAGTCTACCCTTCCGGGCTTTATACAGGGTGAGTACAGTATATCTTTACCTGTCTCAAACAATATATATCTTAATTTGATGTTTGATGGGGTTTTAGAAACATTTATTGCGATCTGTGACCCCAAACCATGAATTTAATACACTGCAATGTGACAGATCTAACTTAAGTAAAGGGACACATTGATGCTTTATTTTGGAATACATGTATTGTCATGACTATACAAAATTTGGAGAAACGAAAGAGATTTAGAAAAGGAACTTGAACATGTACAGACATTTTTTTGAGTGATTTTATTCAACAAGTGGTCGGAATGGAAAAAACTCATTATCTTTCTGAAAAATATATGCAAGGCAAGAGTCTTATTATCATCCAAAACTTTGATCTTTATCCTCCTCCCCTAAAATGGTGGTGGTTGGGAGGGAGGGAGGAGGGAGGGAGGGCAGTGTATGAATTATACAATATATATATGTTGAGATTATTGATATTGTTGTAATACACGTATACATTGACTGGGAACGTGAAAGAAGAACAAATTGTATCGACTTTCATTGATCTCTTCAGTAAACGCTGTTTCTAAAAACATCTTTGAATGTAGAGGTGCATGTGAGTTCTGTCTTTTTTCGCATATAATGTGTGTTATGATTATATATTTGGGTGAAACTTCCGTAAACATCGTGATATCAATTAGTCATTGGGCGTGATCACAGCTTCAAATCAGTGACCTGATGTCAGAGTAACACCAATACATGTGCTGATTAGTTGAAGTTTCTCACATAGTTACAGGTTACACAACAGGTCATACAAATGTCAGGTGATATGTGAGATTTTTTCATTCATGTTGCAAAATAACATCAACAGATCGGGTATTGAGAACAAAAACTACCTGCTGTTAGCTACCGATTGTTGTAAGAGACAGCTGATGCGAGAGCTACAATAAACCTGCGGCCCTCATTGCAACATTTTGGCTCTTTCTCATATTATCTTTATATGTGGAATACAAAAATATATTAATTCCCAATTGTTGCAGTTGGAGTAAATCAGTTTTGTTTTTCTTAAAATGTTCTTTTGAGCAGAGAGCACAGAGGTAAAACTCTGAGCCTGCGGGGGCCCTTTTTAGTCAACTCATACAATCATGCAGTTGGTTATAGCTGTCAAGTTTATACATATTTTTTGAAAGAAAAGATGCTGCTTCAATATTGATAATGGTTACTTATGGAATTATCATTTGCAGAAATTTGTGTATGAGTCTCCTTGTGAATTCATGCAAACTCTTACTGAGTGTAGTATTCTGTGACGTCTACATTCAGACACCTTGGTTAAGGTTAAAATACAAAATAAAGCGGGATGTGAGGCCCTTTATGCCTCTTCTTCTTTAGTACAGCTAGATGATTGCTTTGGAGGAGAGAGGGACGGGGGTCAGACTATACAAAGGTTAATTAAAGAACTTGTAAAAACTACAGTCCAATTACGCCTTTGGTTTAATATGAATTGAAGTGAAATGTAGAAAGGTAAATAGTGTAAATTGTTATAGCCAGATGGTGTAAGTATATATCCCATTACGCAAACCTGTCAAGTCACCAGCATTTGTGGATGTCAACGGTGCCTCCATGAGCCTGCACAGATTGTAGTACCAGGTATATGTTGGAATCTCCTGCATTTGCACTGCTAAATCAATCATCCAGTATAACCTGTCTAAACTGGACCCTGTCTAATCCGGATCCTTGTTTAAACCGGCTGTGGTCCCAGCATATTCCCTACATAATCATAATAGTTTAACCCTGTATAAACCGGACCCTGTCCATTCCAAAAACCGGCGTTGTTTCACAAAAGTTGGCATAGTAATCCATGTAAAAACAACGTGTTCTTTCCGGTCCTGATATTTCTCGCAGCCGGCTACAATCTAAAACAAACACATTCTATACAATTTAGCGCTATTCAATGTTGGGTTGCCCTACATTTGTATTATACACTGTATATTTTGGAAATATTTAAACGTTGCAATTGATACATTTCTCTGTTGTTTATGTTGACACACTTGTATACAGATCGTCAAAAAATGACATGCCGACCCTGTGTAAACCGGACAAATAGTTTGGTCCTTGTGACATCCGGTTTAGACAGGTTATACTGTATAAAATAAAAAACATTTTTAAAGCTTAAGATATTAAAATACACCTTAGAAAGACAATAAAGTATATATATAAAAAAACAAATTATGATTGTTAAAATGACATTTCTACTGACTGAGATGGCTTTGACATTTTAATGCACAGTACTGAAATAATTAACCTGCAATTAGCGGACTTGACCTTCATTTGGCTTAGATACAAAATTATAATGACCTTTCATGCCAACATCTAAATATAGTGCCTCCAGTCACAGAGGAAATACTTTCCTTTATAGGTGGTTAAAGAATGTACCGTGTTTGACTGCAAATAAACCCCCACCCCTAGTGAAACAAAATAGACCAAAAGAAGAGAGTCGAGGGGCTTAATTGCGAGTACCCCCCGTTCATAAATGTCGGCCATTTTGGATATACCCCTATTTTGATCTATGACCACACTACACATCTTGAACTAATTATAGAGTTGTTCATGTTTCAGAAATAACAACTAACAGACAGACTATCTAATAGCAGTCACCACAAACTGATTAGTTGATGGTGCTGTTGTTTTTCTAAACCAACTTTCTAATATCAATTGGTCTCGATAATTCAATTTATCAAACACCATTTTGTATATATTCTTATTGATAAGTCCATCAGTTCTCATTTAGTAACAATACTAACAATCAGAGGTGTAACAAAATCAATAGCACGATGACCAGGTTCTCTGGTGTTTGGCTATAAAGTGCCATTACAAGATTTGGGCATATACTGCAATGTAGCTTGTCCAACAGCTGAAGAAGTTTGAGTATACCAGGCTGAATCAACCATTATAAATTGTATTGTATATATTGTGTTGACTTTGGAATTAAATATACAAGAATTCTTAAAAATCACTAGGCTAATTAAAAAGCTCTATAGAATTATATTGAGATAAAAATAGTCCATCAGAGATTAATATTTCAGCCTTTGGCTGGTTTCAGCCTCTTTTAGAACTTTAATGTAAGGTCAAGTTTTAATTTTTCCCATAGCAAAGATTCAAAAATGTATGTTTCAGCCTTTTTGTCCATAAACCCATTTTCCTCTCTGTTTCATGTTAAACAACATCTCATCTTTTGATTTATGTCAAAATATATTCTTTTGGATTTTTTTATTTTTTTTTCAATATAATAATTTAAATCTTAAAAAAAGCATTTGTCGCTATATAAGACATTAAGGCAATGTAATTTGAAATATAACATTGAATATTTTCTGTAAGTTTATAGAAAGCACCTTTTAAAGGTCGTAACTAATATCTGGATCTGAAATGCTATCTCTGGTCGTGTTGATCAACAATGGAATTATGAAAGTTGTTTAGCTGTTATATCGGCTACTGATCTGACCGGGTCAAGTCTGGCCGGAAATTCGTCCAGTTAATGAATCTAGACACTAGAATCTCGTCCAAGGGAATAGACAAGGATTAGGGATTAGGACGGGGACATTATTTTCTCGTTACTGTCTTATGTAGGGGTGTCTTGTCATTGGTGACCTGTAGGTTACTGGCTTTGACCGATTTGTTCATATATGAGGTTAGTTGATAAAATTAGAGTAAATGTCTGTTTCCGGGGTATTTATAGATGAATGGATAGAATAATATAGCTCTGGGCTTTTGTCTCTTAGTAACTAACTGCCTGTGTCCTCTTGGTTGAGATGTCCTCAATAACCAATATATATTGTCTTGTACCGGTATAAGCTGTTTCTCATTAATAATCCATATCTTGTGTTCTGGATTAAGTTTTCTCAATAATTTATATCTTGTCATCTAGGTTAGATTTAATCAATAACCCGTATCTTGTCATCTAGGTTAAATTTAATCCATAATCCATATCTGGTCGTTTAGGTTAAGATTTTTTAATACTCCATAATATTGTATGTAATATCATGTCTTATAGGTTACACTTCCCTCAATAGCCCATATCATGCCTTATAGGTTACACTTCCCTCAATAGCCCATATCATGTCTTATAGGTTACACTTCCCTCAAGAACCCATATCAAGTCTTATAGGTTACACTTCCGTCAATAACCCATATCATGCGTTATAGGTTACACTTCCCTCAATAACCCATATCATGCCTTATAGGTTACACTTCCCTCAATAACCCATATCATGCCTAATATAGGTTACACTTCCCTCAGTAACCCATATCATGTCTTATATGTTACACTTCCCTCAATAGCCCATATCATGCCTTATAGGTTACACTTCCCTCAGTTACCCATATCATGTCTTATAGGTTACACTTCCCTCAATAGCCCATATCATTCCTTATAGGTTACACTTCCCTCAATAACCCATATCATGTCTTATAGGTTACACTTCCCTCAATAACCCATATCATGCCTAATATAGGTTACACTTCCCTCAGTAACCCATATCATGCCTTATAGGTTATACTTCCCTCAATAGCCCATATCATGTCTTATAGGTTACACTTCCCTCAATAACCGTTATCATGTCTTATAGGTTACACTTCCCTCAATAACCCATATCAAGTCGTATAGGTTACACATCCCTCAATAACACATATCATGTCTTATAGGTTACACTTCCCTCGATAACCCATATCATGCCTTATAGGTTACACTTCCCTCAATAGCCCATATCATGTCTTATAGGTTACACTTCCCTCAATAGCCCATATCATTCCTTATAGGTTACACTTTCCTCAATAACCCATATCAAGTCTTATAGGTTACACATCCCTCAATAACCCATATCATGTCTTATAGGTTACACTTCCCTCAAGAACCCATATCATGTCTTATAGGTTAGTCTACACGGTTAAGTTTTATCAATAATCCACATCTTGTCATCTAGGTTAAAATCAATCAATAACCCATATCTTGTCGTCTAAGTTGAATTTTATCAATAACCCAAATCTTGTCATCTAGCTAGGTTAAATTTTAACAATAAGCCATATCTTGTCTTCTAGGTTCTGCTTCCTTCAACAACCCATATCTAAATATATAATAATATACAACATTTTATATAGCACCCTATCTAGCTAGCATAAGCCACTTTAAAGCACTTTACAGTACATAGATATACAATTAATACAATAAGCACTTGAATGCTACAGCACAAATACCGCAACATCCACCCCAGACCATTTTATATTCCACCTGGGTTGTTGGAGTTGTGTGGGCAGGAGAAAAACTATTTCTCTGAATATCCAAGCGTATGACGACTTCAGGGATCGAACCCCGGCCGCCTGCATGGAAGGCCAGAGTGTTAACCACTCGACCAATCCGCCCATAAACTCTAGACTCTTTCTTACTTTGACAACTTATATCGTTTCTCTTCAATAACCCATATAATGTCATATAGGTTACACTTCCCTCAATAACCCATATCATGTCTTATAGGTTACACTTTCCTCAATAGCCCATATCATGTCTTATAGGTAACACTTCCCTCAATAACCCATATCATGTCTTATAGGTTACACTTCCCTCAGTAACCCATATCATGTCTTATAGGTTACACTTTCCTCAATAACCCATATCATGTCTTATAGATTACACTTCCCTCAATAACCCATATCTTATCCTCTATGTTACACTTCCCTCAATAACCCATATCATGTCTTACAGGTTACACTTCCCTCAATAACCTATATCATGTCTTGCGTACAGGTAACACTTCCCTCAATAACCCATATCATGTCTTATAGATTAGTCTTCCCTCAATAACCCATATCATGTCTTATAGGTTCAACTTTCTTCAATAACCCAATATCTGGTCATCTGGGTCATGTTTCCTGTCATATCTTATGTAGCTAGGTAACTACTTAACCACTTTAAACGCCCATTTCTCTAGGTACTGTTCACAGCAATAACCTATTTTGTGTGCTGTAGTTAATGATTTCTTTATCCATTCATCTTTTTCTTGGCTGTATGGATCGATGATCTGCGTGTGTGACTCAGTTGAAAATATTTAGGGTATAGTAGTGTAACAAGAAAGAGAATAGTGTGCTTCCACCGGGGATCGAACCCTCAATCTCTAGGTTCCTAGTCGGAAGCTCTACCACTGAGCTAAAGGGAAATTCCCTCTAGCTCGAAGCTAGAAGGCGACCTTAATCCTATGTACAATTAAGTCCTGCCACAGTAGATTTAAAGTAAAAAGGGTTTTTGTTTAAGCGGTGTCAATGAATTAAATTTGTTGTTTGCTATGAATATTATCTGAATCACCAACCTCCTACTTTCTCTCATGTGGGAAGTTGATGCTGGTCGCAATTTTGATCTAAATGGATGTATTCATTTCACCCCAGACAAGTGGCCAGTCTACGTGGAACTGACCAATGGCCAACTGTATGGCTGTGACTTTGTGGTCAGTGCAACAGGTGTGGTTCCTAACACGCATCCCTTCACCAAAAATAACCAGGTAAGTAATGGTCACTCGTACAGGGTTCACAGACTTAGGGCCCTAACAGAAAACATGCAATACGTTTAAATGTGATTCAATCGCTCTCGGCATGCACAAACTTCAGATGGATGCTCTACCGTATAAGTTATGAGATCATAGACGGTCAACTCGGCCCTGGTCTGCTTGTAGTTCATTTACATCATAATGGCGTATAATGACACTATGATGTTTGTTTTATTACAATTTCATTGTAAGTGAGGATAATACAGGTTTATTTTTTTTACCAGATATCTGTCAAATCTTAAAAGAGACATTATTAGTTTATTACTCTAGAAAACCTCTTTCTGGCTGGAACTCAACAGTTAATCAACGACCATTTTGATTTTTGTCTATTTAAGTTTTCCATATCAGCAGATGGTGGATTGTTGATCAACGAAAAGATGGAGACATCAGTTGTTGACGTTTATGCAGCTGGGGATGTCTGTAGTGCAAATTGGACGCACTCCCCACATTGGATGCAGGTATATTACCGAACATTCTCTCCATCCAATGAAAATTGTCCATTTACGACAGGTGCAGCTATGTTTAAACTCCAGTTATAAAATTTGATGTTGTGTTTTTCCGTCATGTGGCAATACATTTCATTGTATGAGATATCACAAGATTTTTATTTACCTCCAGAAAAAGAAACCCATGTTCTGTCAATACATTTATACATTTTAGTCCCTGGTCGTAATCTACGATCAATTCGTTTCAACCAGTTTTACTGCCAGAGAAGTAGAATAAACGTTAGAAAGTATAGCATTTTAAACAGGATTCAATGTAATTTTAACTATCTTGATTTTGCACCAGACTGTGATATGTTTTGTTCCTCACTCTCAGAGTTCAAAGTACGGTTAAAGAATATTTGCTATCACTAATTCCTTTTGTTTTACATATGAGTATCTTTTAGTGTGTGTTACATGCATAACTGACTGTGATATTTTATACTTGTGTTGTAATGTTGTTATCCATTCTGTAAGTGGACCCTTGGGTCTGTTGAATTGGAAATAAATAAATAAATAAAGTATACTCATGATAATCAAAGTGATTTTATATTGTAGTGTGTTTCTTCCAGAATTGATTTTCCTTCAAAACGACTTAAAATTTAGTATTCTTAGATCACAAACCTGATGGAACAATTCTTAAACATGATTTATTTATAAAATTTGGATTACCCAGCTGTCAACAAACTTTACAAACCATAAGTATTCAACTTCAAAATGTACTTGCATTATAGGGTATCACAGTTAACCAGTTAAAAGTACAAAATGCATAAACATTTTTTATACGCCCGTCAAATTTGACGGGAGTATTATGGTATGGGTTTGTCCGTCCGTCTGGCTGGCATAAACTTTTGTTTGTCCAGCAATCTCCTCCTACATTTTTCGACCGATCTCTTTGAAACTTAATACATATTATAATCATGATATGAAGTTGTTTCTCCCTTAAAAGAATTTTGATTCAACAATTTTTCCAAAAGTTATTGCCCTTTGTTTATTTCAGTATTTGATTTCTGTCCAGCAGTCTTCTCCTACATTTTTCCACCGATCTCTTTGAAACTTATGATATATTATAATCATGATATGAAGTTGTGTCTCCCTTAATAGAATTTTGATTCAACAATTTTTCCAAAAGTTCTTGCCCTTTGTTCATTTCAGTATTTGATTTTTTGTCCGGAGATCTCCTCCTACATATTTTGACTGATATCTTTGAAACTTGGTAGGCTAAATAATCATAATATGTTGTTGTGTTTCCTTGAGAAGAATTTTGATTCAATAATTTTTGCAAAAGTTATTGCCCTTTGTTTATTTCAGTATTTGATTTTTGTCCAGCAATCTCCTCCTACATTTTTCAACGGATCTATTTGTAACTTGGTATACATTATAATCATGGTATGAAGTTGTGTCTCCCTTAAAAGAATTTTGATTCAATAATTTTTGCAAAAGTTATTGCCTTTTGTTCACTTCGGTATTTGATTTTTTTTCTCCGGAGATTTTCTACATTTTTTATAGCATGTCAGCTAACCACTCTTAGAATGATGCAGATCTTATTTCAATGTAAGTAAGTATAATAACACTATACGGCATTCGATGGGCGTATATTGTTCTGCCCCGCAGTACTCTTGTTGGCTTTTTTGATACATTATTCTCAAAAATGCAATCAGGGAAAGATAACCTTAATTCTTTAGAAAAAATTGATCACTTGTCATTAATATCTAAAGTTATTAAAAAGATTTTCATGTCAGATGCGACTGTGGACCCAGGCTAGACAGATGGGTGCGTACACGGCTCAATGTATGGTGGCCAAGGTCAGGAATGAGGTTGTCTCCCTTGATTTCTGCTTCGAGATGTTTGCACATGTGACAAAGTTCTTTGGCTTCAAGGTAAAAAACATGAGCTCATGACGATCAGTTTGTAAAAAGATTAAAACTTGCTTGCAATCAAGTCTCCATATTTTGAAGGGAGATTGCCTGTTAATTTTCACTGCCATCTTGCACTTTAAAGAATTACCATTATCTTATATAATATAAATACATGATATGTAGTGTGGTCATAGATCAAGACAATGGTACATATGTATCCAAGATGGCAGACATTTGTAAACAGGGGGATACTTGCAATTAGGCCCCCTCCCTACTTTTGGTAATTATTTTTTCACTAGGGGTGGGGGCTTATTTGCAGATAAATATGGTAAGTATGGTCTGGGTTTTTTCCTGACAATCTACTATTTGCTACAATTGGTATACCACAATATTGTAATAATCAACTTACTTTGTGGTTTCAAGACTACCGTATCAAAATTATCCAACCATTTTTATTTTGTAGCTGTATTTATCTACCAATTGTTTGGTTGTTCTGACTATTAAATACATTATGTAATTATCAACCTACTCTGTGGTTTTCCTGACTACACTGTAATTATCAACCTACTCTGTGGTTTTCCTGACTACACTGTAATTATCAACCTACTCTGTGGTTTTCCTGACTACCATAATGCAATAATCTGAGTCCCATACTTCATTTTGTACCCTGTACATAATTCAGGAAAATACATTTATAAACAAATCTTATAATGAATGGGTAGGTGTGATATTATATGTACCAGCTGTATTGATCACTGTAATAAATACCCAGGTGTACCTCTTGAGATGGCAACATGCTCCACATAAGTAACAAATATTATATATGATGTTTAATTTTGAATTGAGTTTGAATAGATTCAAATGATAAAAATGTAAATCTGTGAAAGAGAAAATAAATATGCACATTAATTATTATTTTTTTACATTTACTGGGTATGTAAAAGGGGGGAAGGTACAAATGTAGTCTGCTTCACTTGATCACCTGCAAAAGGCATTTGCATATGTAAAAATGCGTAGACATCTGGATATACATGTATGTGGTATAATATTAATTCTGTTGATGTGTTACACAACCGGACCCCGGCCGGGGTCTTTTTTCACACCTGGGCATGTTAAGTAATCAGTGTCGTGACCTTACATTGTTTACCCCGGCTAGTTATCACACCTGCTATGTGTGACTGAACTCTTCACATTGGTATAAAAAGGTATAAAGATGTGACGAAGGCCTATACAATAGAGGTACACAATGCAGGTCTTTGAAATGTATCATCATTAGTTCATACTCATCTAATTATCATCACCTCAAAGAGACGGCAGCTGAAGCCCGACTTGACAACAGTATGCAATAATTCAAGGCCTTGTTTAGCTTTATGACAACTTAACGCAAAATTTTAAACTAGTATATTTTCAGAACAGTTGAAATCAAAAGTAAAATTTAATGTATAAGGATTTTAAATGATCAGGTTATAACAACAAGCAAGGAAATATTCATAAATTCATCCATAGTTCTCAAAAACATTGAAAAACAGTGATAAAGAAAATATCTTTCATTTATTAGGGTCACTTGCAAATTTTGCTTGGAGAGAGAGTCAATAAGCGTAGTGGTCATATTAAGTGCTCTTCACTCGTTATTGCTGCCTCCATGTTCTAATTCTCAATTGTCTTTTCCAAAACCTATATCATAATCTTAACAAAAAGTATTGACCAAGATGAATTTGGTGAAACTATATATGTAATCACAATATTATTACTGTTAAGTAAAGAAACACCCTCATTACATAGAATTTCAGTTACCATTATATGTGTTTAGGTAATAAGTTTCCGCTGAATAATATCCTCAAAGTGTATTATTGAAAATAGTGTTACATAGTCATACATATATTGTGAGGCCTTGTTTCATGGAAACTTCTATCCAAAGGGAAAGGGGCCACAGTGGCTGTGTGGTTAGGGCTTCTTACCATCCAAGATCAATAGCCCTCCACCCGTGGGTCACGGGTTAGAAGCCTATGTGGGGCAGTTGCCAGGTACTGGCGGCCGCAGGTCATTGGTTTTTCTCCAGGCCTGTCCTTAACTCATTAACCCTTGAAGACACATTTGAACCCTTCCAATTCAAAGGTTGGAATAGTTCATTATGAAACTTCAGGGGTAAATGAGTTAAATGACCATAGCAATTAAAAGGACTTAATTAAAACACACCAAAAAATATTGCAATTGAAGAGTTTTTCTAAAGTGAAAACAAAATAAGTGCAAGTTGAAAGTCCTTTACCCATAAAGTTTTAAGGGGACATGTACGTGTACGTTAGGTGTAGAAGAAAATCCAATGCCATAGAAGTCATTTATGTGACTCTACACAGTGATAGTTTGTTAAATGCATGGAGAGTGTAAAAATTATTTGATGGCTGGAATAATTTAATTTATTTTAATAAAAGACTGTAAAACATCTTAACTTGCAAACCAAAACTAGAATGGCACAAGAGGAAGATTTTTAAAAAAAGTTGGTGAGCTGTTGAAACAAATGATTGTTTGGTTTTCTTAAGGATCCCTGTCCCACTGCACTGTACGTGTTCTTACCTTTATGCAGTAACCTCCCTGTTACTCCTGTTTAGATATAACTGTAGCACAGCTGGGCTAGGACACTTTCGTTGACCAGGTAGCTCAGTAGGTTAGTGAGATAGTTTAGCAGTCAGAAGTTCCGGGTTCGAATCCTGGTCAGGCCCTGTGGTGTTTTTTTTACCAGAACACTTTAATTGATCGTATTTTGTTTATTTCATCTTTATCATTTCTCACGAAAGTCCTGCAAAGTAATTGGTTTCCTTTTCAGAAGTAATTTATCAATGTTATAGCAATGCTAGAATAAACTATTTCCAATACTTAGTTACAGATTTTGGCAGTGGTACAGGGATCCTACAAATTAGGATTCACAAACAACTTCCCAATATTGTGAATGTAAATCAGAAGTTAAACTTTATTTTCATTTTTGTTTGAAAGAAGAATGCATGCCTCCACTTCTGTACAAGTTACCTCCCCTTGTACAGCATCATAAACATTGTAAAGTCAATCAAATGTGTATTTTCATTTTTTCCAGGTAATTTTGTTGGGAAAATTCAATGCTCAAGGTTTAGAGGGTGACCATGAACTCCTATTAAGGATGACCAAAGGTAAGTCTGCAGTCTGGTCCTACAGATGACCGATATATACTGTAGTATCCATCCCAGTGTCATGTACGTGTATTAAATGAACGCCCTTACCAAAAAGTATCCAAATACTTTTTATGCCTGCATAAAATGTAATGTACACACACTCCCCTGCTAAAACTATTATATTTTAGTATTATTGTAAATCTGAAAAGCTCAAGATAGGAATAAAAGGAGAGAGGAGAATATTTCTCCGGTGTAACAAGAGAAAAGAAATACACAGCCAGATCAGGGTTCAAACCCACGACCCTCCAAATTCTAGACAGACGCTCTACCAATTGAGGGCATGGTCACTGATTTAACTCTGCCTTCTGATCCTGTGCAACTCCTTACTGACTTTAGACAATTGCTGGACCTGCTAATTTTATCACGCTTTTTTGTACATATGAAAAACAATGTCTGAATGGAATAGTGTGGGTACAAGACATAGAGCAATTTTAAATTTTGATGTAAAAAATATGTAGGTTGTGCCGTGTCAAGGCCATCGGGTTTCTATGCATGGATACAGAAATTTACTTCAAGATAGGTAGTGTAGGATTTAGCTGTGCTTAGATATATAGAGTAAATGCATTGGTTAATAGATATCAGTTACCTTAAATTAACACATAGATAGTCTGACAGGTGAAAGTTGTTTCACTAAAATGTGGGTTTTACATGTCTATTTGGATTTTTTGGGGTTTTTTTTATCATTTTTTTCTTTCATTTGACATCACTGGTGAACTTTCTGGAAAGTTCAGAACTTTTCAAGTACATGTAGTGAAATATTGCTAAAAATTATTGGTAATCTACATTTAAAAATGAACAAATTAAAACCCATACTAGTGTAATAAATATATACTATCCTATCCTCTGGCAGGGCTCTTTATTATCTGTCCTGGACAGAAAGAAATGGAGAAATGTGTTATCAGTGTCATGCTAGTCCCTGTGATGAACTGAAATAATTGAAACTGTTTTGTTTTTTTGACATATTTGTATAGAATCAGCCATTTCTGATAAAGTGTTCGACAACTGGTGTAGGGGAGATAACCAAGAAAACCTTTTGTTACTTACATGTACCAGAAAGAGTTTCTACTTTTCATTTGAATTGTTGTTGTCTTACCTGTATACAATGAAAGTCATGTCATGCAGAAAGCTGAGATACCTTAAAAGCTTTGTCATATAAAAACCATTTCATATTCCCTACAACCTGCGACAAAATCTAAACTCAACCCCTCAAAAATGTAAAAAAAATAATAATTGGAAGTTCATCTTAAAGGTGGTAGTATCTCCTAAGAGGTTTGGTGGATGTGTCAAGATAACTACCGTGAAAAGGGTTGCTATACTGTAGAGAAATCAGTGTAATTTGTCTTTATTAGCATATTTATTTTTCAATGGGAAGGGAAAAGAATATTGGCTAATAAGGGAAGACATGTATTTTTCTACACAAAAAAAAACAAGCCTCTTATTTGATTTCTGTCCCTGTAAGAAGAAATAAGTGATTGAAGATATTTACATGTAATTAAATATCTCTTATGTAATATGATACCTGTAAAGAAATTCTGTATATGTTATAGATAATTTGTACCTGTAATTTAATATGTGTACCTGTAACTAATTATTTGTATATACCTGTAATGTAATGTAATATGTGTACCTGTAATTGATTATGTATATACCTGTAATGTAATATGTGTACCTGTGATGTAATATGTGTACCTTAAACTAAATATGTGTATACCTGTAATGTAATATGTGTACATGTGCCTGTAATTAATTATGTGTATACCTGTAATGTAATATGTGTACATGTGCCTGTAATTAATTATGTGTATACCTGTAATGTAATATGTGTACATGTGCCTGTAATTAATTATGTGTATACCTGTAATGTAATATGTGTACATGTACCTGTAATTAATTATGTGTATACTTGCAATGTAATATGTGTACCTGTGATGTAATATGTGTACCTGTGATGTAATATGTGTACCTGTAATGTAATTATGTGTATATACCTGTAATGTAATATGTGTACCTGTGATGTAATATGTGTACCTTAAACTAAATATGTGTATACCTGTAATGTAATATGTGTACCTGTGATGTAATATGTGTACCTGTGATTTAATATGTGTACCTGTAACTAATTATGTGTATATACCTGTAATGTAATATGTGTACCTGTAACCAATTATGTATATATACCTGTAATGTAATATGTGTACCTGTGATGTAATATGTGTACCTGTAGCTAATTATGTGTATATACCTGTAATGTAATATGTGTACATGTGATGTAATATGTGTACCTGTAATGTAATATGTGTACCTGTGATGTAATTTGTGTACCTATGATGTAATATGTGTACATGTAACTAATAATGTATATATACCTGTAATGTAATATGTGTACCTGTAATTAATTATGTGTATATACCTGTAATGTAATATGTGTACCTGTAATAAATGATGTGTACCTATAATTAGATATCTGTACCTGTAATTAATTATGTGTATACCTGTAATGTTATATGTGTACCTTTAATTAATTATGTGTATACCTTTAATGTAATATGTGTACCTGTAATAAATTATGTGAACCTGTAATTAGATATCTTTACCTGTAATTAATTATGTGTATACCTGTAATGTAATATGTGTAATGTAATATGTGTACCTGTAATGTAATATGTGTACCTGTAATATAATATGTGTACCTGTAATTAAATATGTGTACCTGTAATTAGATATCTGTACCTGTAATTAATTATGTGTATACCTGTAATGTAATATGTGTACCTATAATGTAATATGTGTATACCTTTAATTTAATATGTGTACCTGCAACTAATTATGTGTATATACCTGTAATGTAATATGTGTACCTGTAATTAATTATGTGTATACCTGTAATGTTATATGTGTATTTGTAATTAAATATGTACACCTGTAATTAGATATCTGTACCTGTAATTAATTATGTGTATACCTGTAATGTAATATGTGTACTTGTAATTAAAAATGTGTACCTGTGTTACAGGTAAGGAATACATCAAGGTGGTACTTAGGAATGGCACTATGCAGGGAGCCGTTCTCATAGGAGAGACAGAACTGGAGGAGACATTTGAAAATCTAATTCTCAACCAGATAGACTTGACACCCTTCAAGGACGATCTCCTTGATCCTAACATTGACCTTGAGGATTTTTTTGACTGACAGCTACTCTTAGAAACACTAGGACTGCTAACGGGAAAAATAGACAACCCTGTAAGATACAAGGGCTGCTAATAGGAAATAGACACCTCCAGAGTGTTGTAGGTTTCACCGTGTCAGCTGAGGTGAGGGGAGACAACTAGAAGTGTGGAATCTATTTAGCAGTGTTACTCATTCCATCAATAATCTCGTCACTGACAATGTTTCCACAGCTGCGTCTCTGTAGCCTGATCTTCAGCACTGCAGAAAACCAGGGCTGATTTGTTCAATGTCAGATTAGGCAATTAACCAGCCATTGTTGCTAATTCTATTTTTGTGAAATGTTTGAAAATTTGCAGTCATATTTGTGTTTATTGTTGAGTTTTTCAAAGTTTGGTTAGCTTAATGACAACTTAACGAAAAAATCTGTCTAATGTATGTCATAATTATCTATATTCAAAACTTCATTTGTGTCTTAAGTGATTTAAAATTACAATCTGTAGATAGGAAATACAAAATGAATAAATAAATAAATATATTTTCAAACATTTTTGTATATAACATATTTTTCTTAAATTTTATTAATGACCCGTTAAGCCAGTCAGGCTTTGAACATCTTGACTCAGCTGAAGAACATGTTTCGTGGTGAATGATGTAATGTGAAAGTTTGAATTCAAGCTCAGTCATCAGTTTATGATGATGATGTTTTAACCTGCTAATGATATGTTATACATCTAATACCCACATTCTGAACTTAATATTAAGAAGTTCGTGTTTTTAAAATTTCTCTATAGAATTATGAAGCTTTTATTAAACCTGTATTTTTACTGACTCTGCTGGACATTAGACGGCTTGACTAGTCAACCTTCAGTTACGTTTCTATTTATTTACCTCTGTTACATTGTTTTTGAAACATAATGTGAGCTATGCAAAGTTATTTATTTTCATTACTTTTTGTATCAATAAATGAAATAATATATGTAGTGTCTTATACTTAATTCCTTTTTACAGCAATGACATGAAGGTATCAGCTGTATTGATATAAAAATCATAGATATCACATATTAGGAAGTTTAAACAGTACTTTATTATATTGTCCGTCTGTCTGTCTGTCTGTACACGTGCACCAGCATTTCAATTTGGGATTTCGAATCTTTTTGATGAAGTTATGCCCCTTTGTGCGAAACATTTGTCCGTGCAACTCCTCCTTAACTAACAGGTGGATTTCATTGAAACTTTGCATGAATGATCGGTATCTTATGTAGTTGTGCACCAGCATTTTAATTTGGGATTTTGAATCTTTTTGATGGAGTTATGCCCCTTTGTGTGAAACACTTGTCCATGCAACTCCTCCTTAAATAACAGGTGGATTTCATTGAAACTTTGCATGAATGATCGGTATCTTATGTAGTTGTGCACCGGCATTTTAATTTGGGATTTCGACCTTTGTGATGGAGGTATGCCCCTTTGTGGGAAATACTTGTTACTGGTCGGAGAGTATGGATTGCTTTGCGATGCTTTGCCTTAGTTAGACTTTAACTTACAGTTCTGGTTCATATAGCAGCGGGGGTATTAGTTAGCCTTTGGCTTACAGTTCTAGATTGTTTTGGTTTCTTTTCAATGAACAACACAATCAAACACAACAAAATAATAGATTCAATAACAAATGAGCTAGTCAAACCTGCTTATGACACCACCCCTGTAAAGAGACCACCTGTGCTTAGGGTACTACTGTAACTGATGTTGTGATTTCATTTTGGATTTGTAGATATCAGTGACTTTAAACAATATTTTATTTGTTTTGGTTTCTTTCCAAGGAAGAACACAATAAAAAAGAATTAAGAAATAGATTCAAAACAAATAATCTAGTCACTTAAAATGTTCCCAATTTCATTGTGAATTGAACCTGTCTTTAGAGATCACCTGTGTTAAGAGACCATGTTTTGGATTTTCCATTGGTGGTCTCTTTATACAGTTTTCCTATTGCTAAGATATCAATTTGTCTTATCCTTATATATATAAATGTATTTGTGGACACAGGGACTAGACATATTGATACATGTCTCTCTAAATGTTTTGAAGATGGGAGACAGCACAGGGAGCAGAACCATCTACAAAAATGTGGTGAAAAATAGTAGTTTCATGTAGTATTCCTTGTGTTATGATATCAAGAACTTAGGGCATTATGGGTCCTTTTCAGTGTTTTGTTTATTTGCTTGAAATGGCCAATTATCAAGTTAAGTAGCACACAATAGACGATTTATGCATTTATTGTGAAAAAAACAGTGGTTTGTACTGCTCTTTGTTGCACCATATCTCCTATTCCGTCTTTGCGTATTGCAGAGTTATCTTCTCTTGAGAGCAGGTATTGAATGTTACGTCATTGGTTCGTGTGAGAAAATTACGTCGTTTTCTCTAAAATTGATGACGTTACTCTCACAAACAAATGACGTAACAATCAATCCCTGCTCTCAAGAGAAGATACCTCTGCAATACGCAAAGACGGGATACCACTTGTCGAATGAATGAGAAATTTCATATTTGTGTACTTTATTTATCCCAGATTACGAATAGGCCAAATAATTCTAATTCCCTGATGAGGCCAGAAATGACCACTGACGCCTCCAGTCCTTTGAATTGGCCCTGTATATGAGTTTTGGGCAAAGGGAAGTGACATATTGATATGCCCTCTATATGAGTAGGGCTGTGAGGGGTAGGGGTTGACAGGGCAGGCATTACAGGGTCCAGACACAATGTAAGATGTTAATGGTCATCCAGAATTTAATAGCTTTACAATTTAGGACTGTATCCCAGGAAACTTTTACCCAGTCAAACATGGGCCATCCATGTTCACCCAGTGTTCATTTTGCCCTTAAAATGTCATAACTATTTAGAATATGTTGTTTCCTAATTATATTCGGTGTTATGGTAAATTTGCCCTTATTACAGCGGGCAAAAAAGGTGAAAATTGAAATGCTGCCAATGTTCAGGTATACAGTATTCCTTCACAAATTATATCATTTGTCTTGCCTCAGTATTTTACTATGGGGTGAGTGTATGGATGGAAAGTTGGGGGAGGGGGGCAAGTACTACCCAGACCTATATAAATTACAGAGATAAAAGGCCCACTTCACAGGACACAGGGCCTACTTGATAAAAAACGAAAGTGCAGTTTGGATTTCCTGAGTGTTTCTGTCATAATATATGGTACTAGAAATTACTAATGGTGTTGAAACACTTGCTGGGCGAACACCTCTTCTGAGAAGTAGAATTGCAGTAGATATATCCCTCTATTAGTTGTGTAAACATTGCCAGTATGGGACCCGTGTCATCAATTAATATAAATCACTTGTATTTTTCTGTATAAATATTTTCCTTGTGTGGTCGGGTTGTGCAGTGGATTATCCCAAATAGCACACTCACTTAAACCAAGATGGCCAGGATCGGTTTCCCAATTGGACAAGAAAAGATATTGTGTTACCTGTCCAAAAATGTTGGTTTTCTATGTGTACTTCAGTTTCCTTCGACATTGAGATCCCCTTGATAAATCCATCTTGGCCAATAACTGATAACACTTTTTTCATAGTTGTGTTAAATGAATAAAATAAAATTTAACTTAAAAATATATTCCTGTTTATTGAGGAGGAATATTAACAAAATATCTCTAAAAGGAATAAACATAAAAACTAAGATTAAATACTTAAAGTTTTTCACCAAGGCAAAATAAGTAAATGACAAGTTTCTGGAGAGTCAAGGTCACAGTCGAGGTCACTTGGTTAAAAAGAAACTTTGATAAAAACCAGTTGAAGTTGTTTTTTCTGTCAAAACAATTATCTTCATTACTGTAAATTATCTTCCAATTATTATTTACTAAGATAAAAAGATGTATTAAGGCTGGACAGATTGAAGGTTAATAGTGGAAGTCACACAATAAGGTATTCACCTATATTAAGCTATTGCTAAAACTGCTGCTAAAGGTGAAAATTAAAATTTGAAACATCAGTATCTACATTTGTTAACTACTCAGGAAGGCATAAGGGTCAGCAGTAGATTTGTTTTCATGATTGGATGTGAAGTATTATTCACAAAATTACATGTAAAAATAGCAAATATTTAACCATTGTTTAAATGACTGAAAATGATTTCCACTAGCAAAACAGTGAGGGGTGGGGGGTGGGGTGGGGTGGGGGGTCACTAACATTCCTGAATATAAGACATTATCAATATCTGTTAATTCTATTTTTGTTGATATTTGACATCGAGCAATTATCTGGATTCGGTGAGATGTGAATCCCAATGCATTGTACACAGGGAAGTGATTAATCTTACTTGTGAAGGTTAAAAATATTGCCATCAGCTGATAAATTTATCTGTGTGAAAAAAGATAAGAGCCTGATGGACAATGCTACATCACAATGGTAGGCCTTTAAGTAGGGTACATTGAATACAGGTCAAATTGCAAGGTTTCAAGACCAGTTTAATTTATAGACTACCTTTCTTTTGTTTTTGTAGCTTCTTCTTTTTAAAGTGTTCCACATGAAGTGACATGTAAACTATTTCTCATGAGTGGCAAAGCTATATTCAGTGATTTTATGATAAACTGATGACGTCAATGAGGATGGTATTTAATATTAAGTGTGATTTTCAATCTGTTACTCGTGCACAAATCACTGTTATTTAGTGTAAGGGAGATAACTCTTACACAATCCAGTTACATTGTTCACTGCCAAAAACTGTATCTATGCATTGGAAACTGATTTTGCTGGCATGACTGTTATAAAATCATTTGAGAAAAAGAAAACTAACTCCCTTGCGAAACTTTTATGATAGATAGTAAAGATGAAACAAACAAAATATAATCAATGACTGTGAGTGTTCTGTGTCCTTTCCTAGCCCATTGTTCTACTGGTATACCACACAAATTAGGGGGGGGGGGCAAATAGGGAAAACCACAGTGTTCTGTGTCCTGTCCTAGCCCATTGTTCTACTGGTATACCACACAAATTAGGGGGGGGGGGGCAAATAGGGAAAACCACAGTGTTCTGAGAGTGTCCTGTCCTAGCCCAATGTTCTACTGGTATACCACACAAGTTAAGAGGGGGGGGGGGCTGAAAAAGGGAGATTACTAAAAGAAACAATGGGTATTATGCTAAAGTGACAAAGCCAACACTAGTCCCAGGTAGAGTGTGTAAGGGGGATATCTATAAACACAAATAACAGTTATAGAGTGTATGGAATTACATATGTAATGTGTGAAAGGGAGATAACTCATCAAACGTCACAGGTCGTATATATACAAGGGAGATAATCTAACACTATCCAGGGTACGGGTTAGATGGCATACAATCTTAATGCCGTTTTGATCTGGCACCAACCCTTTTTTTTCTATTCAACCACATTTTAAGAAGGTCATTGTTTCAGTCTCTGAAACAAAATGGAAAAACATATATTTTACCGCTTTTTTCTTCTGATTGCGTTGCTGATATTTAGAGGTTTGCTGTTTGTAACACCACGGACTTAGATAATCTAATTCCGTGGTAACACACACAAAAATTTAATTCAAAAAAAATGTTTCAAACTAGATTGCATGCATTGAGTAAGACAGCAACAAACGTAACTTTATCAATGCATTTTAAACTTTACCGTGAATCTTAAATAAACGCAGCAAAGAATTATTTGAGACAGACGGACCAAGTAGGGGCCCATTTGAGGTATGAGTGATGTGTACAACCACTCGTTAGCCCTTATATTATTTGCAGGACAAGTCACCATTATTCATAAAAAAGTTGAAACTATTATAATCCACACATCCATCTCGTGGTATTAACTTAAGTAGCCAGTATAAAAAAGGAATATACCACAGCCATTTACATATAATTACAGAGTCGGTCGTGTTTTAGATCTGTGTATGTAAGGTCACCTCGGTCTACCAGCGGTACCATACCCTGATTGATCGGCCCGGGGGAGGAGACGGGGACTAATAC